CTCGTGTAATCGGATTAAGCACGGCGTTTGACTCGCCTCCCTCCACGGTCGTAAACTGCGATTTAAATAAACCGGCCAACCGGAAAACCGTCCGAGGGACTTAAAATTGTGAGAATATGGAGATTTATTAAGAGATGAGTGTGGCAGTTTTCTGGGCTGTCACTTTCGGAGGTCGTATTTTAAATGTCAACAATCCCACTACGAACTGCAGGGTATCCCTTTTCTCGTGCTGAGCCAAATAATAATAATAATCTTTTAAAAATCCACACAGTTTGATGCCATGATTTTACGTAGGTATTGGAAATAGGAACAAAACTGTGGGCCATCCTTCCGCTTCTTAATGTAAGGATGTTAATTGATGGATGTTATTTTATATTTTTAACAAGACTTGGTGGACATAGAAAGAGGCGGAGATTTTTTTTAAAAAGGCGAGCAAAACTCGAAACTGCCCAGACATTTTTATTTAATTATTTTTTACAAGCTTGGGAAAGGACTTCTGGACCGACCTGCCCCGCTCTCTCCAAGCGGCCTTAAAAAAAAAAAATACACCGAACCAGCACCGCTTACCTGTGAATCTGTCCTTGACGAACCGCCTGCTGCTCTCCATCCAAGGGAAGTTGAGGCTGCCCAGGCTGGGTACAGCTGGCATGGCGGGTATGGCACTCGAGATGGGAGGTGGCACTGCCCCAGGGATGGGTCTGTGAGCTGGCACCCGGATCACGCCAGATGGAGCCAAGCTTAGATTCACACTGTAAGATCCAGAGTCTTCGAAGGGTCCCCCCAGGCCCGCAAAAGTGCCCGGGAGGGACGCGTAGGCTGGGGCGCCCGTTCGGGTCGTGCTGCTGCCGCCGCCGCCTCCACCGCCTCCACCGCCGCCGCCGCCGCCGCTCACGGGGCTTCCCAGGTAATTTGTGGCGCCGTCGGATCCTCGGGGGGCGGCTTGGGAAGAGGGCTCCTGATCAGAACTGTTCAAAATCTGATCAATCCCGAAGCTGATGGGTTCGTGTTGATGCGGGGTCTGCGTGTTCGTTGGCTGATCCATCCTTAGTGAATAGAAATATTGGCTCAAAACGGGAGGTGTGCGGAGGGGGGGAGAGAGAGAGAAAAGCACGATAACAACCCAAA